TGTTTAACTATGACTCCCACGAAAGAAATTTTTTAAGTAGGAAAGTAACAGGAGGGAGAAAAGAGAGGAAAAGAAAATAATAAGAATAGGGTGAATGGCACAAAAGATTCAAAATAAGGTGAGACCAGACTCAGGTGGAGCAGAAGCACTCCAGAACAGAGGTGGCATCTGAAATGGTGCCACAGGGAGAGCAGCGAGACTTGGAAGGAGGTTTTAGGAGAAGAACAGAACAGAAGCCAAGGGATGTATATAACTAAAGTAATATTATGCTCTTTACTTCACTTAATTGTTTAGAACACAGAGAAACACTGATATCTAATCAGGTAATTTACATTTTATCACCTATCTAGCAATCTGAAGATCATCTACTTCTAAATATTTATCTCACAATTTAGAACATTCCTTTTGTTCACTTATGTAGTGTCTATATTATGAATATTAATGAATATTAAGGCCTATAAGCAAAAAATGTGACAATTATCGTAAACTCTACGATTCATATACAACTGGAAGCCAACTATCTTTAAAACTCCAAGCTTAAAATTGTATGCCAACTATACTTAAATTAAAAAATAAAATAAAATGTAGAAGAAAATAGTAATAATAAAACTCCAAGCTTAAGAAAGACTTAGCATTTTATTACTTGACTAGTCTTCCCACATGAGAAAATGCACCCCTTACAGGGTGCTGTAAGTGATTTAAAAAAAAAAACAACCAACTTCTACATCTTAGCAGATCAGGGAACAACTGCACATTTTGAAAGACTGCTCACCAAATTCCAGGCCATGCTGGTACCTTAACATCAATTCTCTGACCACACTCAGCTGCTGATTTTTATCCATACTATGGTACAAGCCCAGTAGCCTCGTCAGCTGCACCACACACAAATGCTGCTGCAGCGCTCTGATGTCAGCAGGCAGTGCCAGTCTATCCTCTGTTGGTGTCGACAAAGGAACAACTCCAAGTAACTGATTAATAAACTGCAGAGTGAAAAAGATGGGACAGGTCTCAGAACAGAACCAGTCTTTAGTTAGGCCATGATTAACAAATATTGAAACGGTGTAGAAAAAGACATCAAGAAAAAAATACAAATTAAAACTCCTTTAGCATACCGTTTTCTATCTACCAAAACTGCTAAAACAAAAAATTTCTAACAGCACACAATGCTGATAAGACTCCAGTGATTCTGGCACACTCATTCACTGCTGGCCAAAAGTTATTATAGTACAATACCACGTACTATAAGCACTAAAAGATTAAAAGAATTGTGAAAATGTTAGATAAATTACATCAACATAATATATAATGCAGCAATGAAAAACTTTTCTAAGACTAGAAAAGAGCAGACTACCAAAAACCAAGCAAACCTACAATTATACTGATATACAAATAATTTCTTAAAGGAAACATCGTACATTGAAAGACATAGTTATGTCATGTCAGTGGCCATAAATTGCTTTTGTAATTAAAGTTTTTAAGATGATCGCAGATATACAGGCACCTATAAGAAAATAGAATGTACCTCTCACTCAGTTTCTCTCGATGATAACAATGTGCATTAAAATGTATTTAATTCTTTAAATTTGGCAAGAACATTTTTAGAAAACACCACTTCCAGTTATACATCTATTAAACACAGGCTTATTTTCACTCACTTCCAAAATTCTATTAAGATGACAGTAAAGAACAAAGCAGCAATCAATCCAGAAGGATCAAGATCATGTGAACAGATGACAACAAATAAAACCACTGACAAGATTTCAAAAGATAAAAAGCAGAAGGGCAAGTGGTAATAATGAGCACATAGTATGCAATGGGGAGGATCCCAGTTAGCAGCAAGGCTAGTCCAGCCACAGAACCCTGAAAGACTCAGAAATTAAAGGCACTATATGTCTCTCTGAAAGCTAACATGCTGATGGGACTGAACTAGGAGAATGTGCTAATTCTGTGAAGAAGTTAGACCCCTCCCCAAGCTCACAGACTGACTTCTTAAATCCAGCAGAAGCCTGGGCTTTTACTGCCAGAAGCTGACCCAGAGACACTGTACACTCAGGGGCAGCAGGCATAGCTAGAACAGATGAAGCGAAGCTTTGCTTATTCGGCAATGACAGCCCCAGTTACCCTCCCCCTACTCCTAACCAGATCCCAGAATGCTACCAGCCAAATGTTTAAGCCCACAAACAGAGATAGATGGTGGCAAAGAGGCTCTATGAAAAGTATTTCTAAAGTGAGGGGCAGGGAGTGGGAAGAGGTTTGGGGGAGAATAGAACAAATCTATTCATGTTTTAGACTACACTAAGAGGAGCTATATACTTTTATGGTTCTTTCAGATTGACTGGGGTAAACTGAACAACAAAATAATTAACTCCAACAAAAAAAGTTGTACAAGAAAGGTAACCTCCATATACAAAGTGGCTCAGCTGTCAATATTTCAAGTCATAAAAATATAAATATGGAATAATGACTGGACTATACTGGGAGAAGTATGTAAGGGGAAAAGTGGAATGTTATAAATGAAATTATTATCTTCCACAGTAAGGCACACCAACAGATGAAGATTATAACTGTAAAAATAAACAAATAGCTATATTAGCCTTTAATTTGGACATACAGAGGTAAATAATAGAAGAAACAGTTAAGAGTTGAAAAATGATTTGCCTGTAGACTCAGAATCAGTGGTGGAGATGACAAAGAGCTGCTACTGTTTTTCAATAGAAGCCTTTAGTGCTATTGGACTTTTTCACTGTTATACATGTAATTTTTTGATACAAATTAAAATTTAACTAATGTCCCACTAAATCAGGCAGTTTCACACCTGTAACAATTTTGCTTCAATTTGTCTATAGTTATATGAATTTTTATTTTAATTATTACAATCAAATAATCACTGTGACAAAGAAACCGGGGCCCTGGTTTTCAATTTTTTTATTAAATGCATATATAGTTTCTACTGCCAGCTCTTCCATTCTTATAAGCCATTTTATGTATTAGCCGCATTTATTATTAACGTCTTTTTTAGTGAACGCTGACAATCTTCCAAACAGATTTTGTCATGAAACAATGGTTCATTTCTTTATTCTAGCCTGTACAGTTTTATTGCTATGCAAAAAGCTGCTTTGAACACTGGAGTCGTTCTATTGTTAGTTTAAAAAGGCAAAGGAAACAAAAGATAAAAACATCACCCTGGGGTGAGCCACTTCAGAGTAACAGGACTCAATGGCCCACTCTTGGGGGCTAGTCCCATTTTAAAAGGATTTGGCTCCTATTTCACTGGGACAACAGTTCTCCACTGGAACCTTACTTGGACCGTGCAATCCTCTGACAAACATGCTGCTGAGCAGGGCGAATTCTTCACTACTGAAGTCATCCCACATTTAAAAGGTTGTGGCAGCAAAATTACCCCCTCAATGAAAAATTTACACAGGACTACAAAATTCACTGAGGAGGCTTTAAATCTTTTGTCTCACAGAACAATGACTTACCTTACCACTGCTAGTATTCTAGCATTTCTCGAGAGTTCCTCAGTAGACTACCATGATGGGGTCATATGATTTTCAAACATACCAGGCAGAGCTGCTGGTGGTAGATTCGTATTCACAAACCTTTATGAACCTCAGCTGAAGGCAATGTAAGTGCTCCTCTAATGCAGCCCCATCACTCGCTGCTTCGGCTTACAAGACGGTGAGCATTGTACAATCAGCTGTTCCCTATCTTAGCCCTTAGAACATAACATGTGCAACAAATACTGAATGAATCTCTCCCATATGGATCTAGATTCTACTTAAATCCCTCCAGTAACATGAAACTCACAACACTGTATGTTTAGAGAATTCTGGCTTCTAAAAAAAAAATCTTTTTCTGAGTCAAATTCTGAATTCCCTATAACCACTTCTTGCTGTTCCTGGTTATCATCCCTCTTCTATGAGAGCTTTTCAAATATGAGAAAGGAAGTGCTTTGTCTTCAGGAGAGCAAACCTCTCTCTTCCACTCAACCATTTCTCTCTCACCTGATTTCAAGTCCTCCTACAACCCAGAACCCTGGATGTTACAATTTATCCAGAACTTTTAAAGCTTGGCCTGAATCCTGTAAGCTCAGCATCCCAGGAATAGCTTTACTGAACGAAAGTGAATAGAGACCACTGACTACTCACCAGTTTGGGAACACACTGTTCCATCTGCCCTAGAGGTGTTACCCCAAGACTGCCAAACTATCAAGCCCTGGTGGACTGATATGATCACCAACAAAAACTCTATAATCATCTCCACTGTGCTCCCAATGCGCTTCATTCACCCCACACAGGAAAGACAAAAAGCACAACACATGGTGGCAGCCCTGTGATAGGAAGACTTCCACCCTTCGTTAATTACGGAGGTTTTTATAAGTAAGCTGACCAAAGTCACAGACTTTCTTTATACATGCCAGTATTTATACGGTGCTCTACTATACCTCTGGCACACTGTTCTTCCAACTCATAGAATAATCCAACTGCCCATTACCAAGGATATCCTGGGCTAAATGCTAAAACCCTTTAATGTGGAACAGGGTATGAAGTTCCCATCAATAGGTGAGCAATCTAACCTAATACGTGTTGCTGTGGATGAGGATTCTAAAGATAAGGCTCTCCATTTCAAGATCTAAGTGATCTACATTGCTTGATTCATATCAAAAGCTCTCAATACAACAGTCCCTCCTTATCCTCAGTTTCACTTTCCATGGTTTCAGTTACCCACAGTCACCTGTGGTCTGAAAATATTAAATGGAAAATTCCAGAAATAAATAATCATAAGTATTAAATTGCACTCCATTTCTGAGTAGCATGATGAAATCTTGTGCCATATCACTAGGGCCCACCCTGGACATGAATCAATCCTCTGTCTAGCGTCTCCCCGCTGTATACACGCCCCCGTCTGTTAGTCACTTAGTGGCTAACTCAGTTATCAGATCAACTGTAGCGGTATCGTGTTTGTGTTCAAGTCACCTGTATTTTACTTAATAATGGTCCCAAAGCACAACAATGGCAATTCCAGCAACTCAGATACGCCAAAGATAAGTCGTTAAGTGCTGCCTTTAAGTGAAAAGGTATGTATGTATAGGGGAAAAACATAGAATATATAGGGTTTGGGACTATCCACAGTTTCAAGCATCCACTGGGGGTCTTGGAACATACTGTCTGCAGATAAGGGGGGACTTATGAAAATTAACTACAATGTACTATCCTGGATTACATCCCAGAACAGAAAAGGGACATTAATGGAAAACTGCAGAAATCTAAATAAAGTTCAGAGGTCAGTTAATAGTAATATACCAATGTCAGTTTCTTAGGTTTGACAAATATGCCATGGTAATTCGAGATCTTAACATTGGGGAAAGCTGGGTGAAGACTGTAGTGTAACTTTACGTACTATCTTGATGACTTTTCTGTAAATTTCAAATTATTCCAAAGTAAAGTTTATTTTTTAAAGATCCCTAAGACTTAGAGTTTCAGGCTGCTTCAGCAAGAATAAATTATGATTTGAAATAATTAGTGATTAACTTATAGCTTTAAGCAAATCAGAGACAAGACATTAAAAGTGGGCTTCATCAAAATTTAAAATTTTTTTCTGCAAAGGATCCTGTTAGGGAATGAAAAGACAAGCTACAGACTGGGAGAAAAATATTTGAAACCACATACGTGACAAAGGACTTGCATCTAAAGTATCTAAAGAACTCTCAAAATTCAATAGTAAAAAAAAAAAACAAAAATAAACTAGAAAATGAGAAAAAGATACAGACAATTCATTGAAGAAAATATAAAGATAGCAAACAAATACATGAAAAGATATTCAATATCACTAACCATTAGGAAAATGCAATTAAAACCATAATGAAGTACTACTTACTACACGTGTATCAGAATGTCTAAAAGAAACAATGACAACACTAGATGCTGATGAGGAAAGAGAGAAAATGAATCACTCAATACTACTAACAAAAATTTTAAATGGTACAGCCATTGTGGAAAAGCTTGGCCATTTATGAAAACTGAACATGTAGCCACCATGATACCCAGCAATTGTACTACTGGACATTTTTCTCAGAGAAATGAACACTTATGTTCACACAAAAAATCTGCACACAAATGTCCATAGCAACTCTATATGCAAAAGCCCCAAACTAGAAACTGGTTAAAGAGCTCATGATGGTACACCCATACCATGGAAAACTATTCTGCCATAAAACGAGAATTAACTAATTGATATATGTAATGACATGGATGAATCTCCAGAGAATTATGCTGAGTGAAAAATGCCAGTCTCAAAGGTTATACATAATATGATTCCATTACTTAACATTCTTAAAATGACAAAATTATAGAAATACCAAACATATTAGTAGTTGCCAGAGGATAAGGACGGGGAAAGGGAGGTGGCTGTGGGTAAAAAACAGTAGCACATGGGATCTTGGTGGTGAACAGTCCTGTATCTTGACTGTGGTGGTGGCCACATAATCCATGTGCATTACATACTGCACTAAAAACACAAAAAACACACCACGTGGGCCGGAACCGCCATCTTCCAGTAACTCACCAAAATGACCAACACAAAGGGGAAAAGCAGAGGTATCTGCTACATGTTCTCTAGGCCTTTTAGAAAACACGGAGTTGTTTGGCCTCATACACGCGAATGTATAAGAAAGGTGATATTGTAGACTTCAAGGGAATGGGCACTGTTCAAAAAGTAACACCCCACAAATGTAACCATGGCAAATCTGGAAGAGTTTACAATGTTGTCCAGCATGCCCGTGGCATTGTTATAAACAAGTTAAGGGCATGAATCTTGCCAAGAGAATTTGTGTACATACTGAGCATAGTAAGCTCTCTAAGAGCTGAGACAGTTTCCTGAAACATATAAAGGAAAGTAATCAAAAAAAGAAGAAAGCCAAAGAGAAAGACACCTGGGTTCAACTGAAGCTCCAGCCTGGCTCCACCCAGAGAAGTACACTCTGTGAGAACCAATGGAAAGGAGCCTGAGCTGCTGGAACCCATTCCCCATGAATTCATGGAATGACGGGTGTAATAAAAACAGACCTCTAATTGAGTAGGTGTCCCCTCCCACAAAAAATATTTAAAGAAGACTGTCCTAATTCATTAGATGATGTCTTTACTACTCAGATTTAGTGCTTTTTTTCTTGCTGAAAGATGTGAGGTGCTGTACTGTGTAACAAAGACTACAGTCCATTGGTTAGGAAACTGCATCTGTAGCATTAGTTAAGCTTCAGGGAAAGTTGATTACTCATAAGTGCATCATAAATAGCTGTAAAGATTAGGAACTTGCCTTTGAAGCCTGCTACTTAAAAACAGTTTAAAGCAAAACAAAACAAAACAAAACAAAACAAAACATACAAATGAATGCATATAAAACTGGTGAATATGAATAAGGTCAGTGGATTATATCGATGTAAATTTCCTAATTATGGTATTATAATTATGCAATATGTTACCATTGGGGCAAAATGGGTAAAGGGTATACAGAGCTCTCTTTATTATTTCTCTTCCAACTGCATCTAAATCCACAATTATTTCAAAAACAACATCAAAGAAAGGAGAATCCAATTATCTACCAGAGGCTTACTTATTCTCATTGTGGCTATTTAACGAGAAATCATACCTTTAATCTGATAGGCCCTAGAGTACTTGGCTTGATGGAGCAGTTATCCTGGTATCTCAGGTTTGCCACTCTCACATATTTTAGAAAGGAAATCCACACACTTAACCTACTTACAATAAATACAGGTACCCAACAGAATTCTGAATTGTACTTACTTTTGTACACTGTGTAGCAGGTAAGAGGTCAACAAACACCTTGAGGTCTGTAAAACAACAAGGTTTATCCCCAAACTTTTTAAAATACTGGAACATTAATTCCTCTGGATCACCTAAGAGAGAAAAAAAAAACCACTATTCATGGACTGAAGCAATTTCTAATTTAAGCAAAAGGTCTGATTTGAAAAACATTTATTTCAATTAAAACTTTGTTTGAATGCTTGAATGAGAATGAATGAGACTGATAATAAAGGGTGAAAGATGACTGTTTAAAAATAAACAAATACTTTAAAAAGAAGCTGAATCTTACAAACTGAGTTTAGTTGTTATTACACTTAGGAAATATGAAGCTTTTCATTCAATTAAAGTTTAAACAGTTAAAAGTTTTCATTAAAGTTTAAAGACTTATATTTATATGTAAACATTAAACATGCTTCTCTCCACAATTCCTGAACTACTTCAGAAGTATCAAATAAATGTTAACTAAATGAAAGGTAATGTCTGTTAACAGGCACACCAACAGGAGAGAAAATAAATAGGAGGAACCACAGGCCAACAACTCCAAGGTCACGTACCATGAAAAATTTAAACCTGGAAATGCAGAAATCTACTGGCTCATTTTCCTTTTCCTCAAATTAAAAACAAAAAATAAAATGCTCTCGAATTGAACTAGATTTAAGAAACAGTGATCTGTGACCTAGGGTTTCTGTAAGATTTTAGGTCCCAGTTCCTGTTCACATGTTTCTGAGAACAGAGGTCCACGGCTTCAATCAGATTTTCACAGGACTCTGATCCAAAAGAGACTAAGAATTACTCACTGGCCTGGTAAAAACAAAATTTTGTGGTGACTAGACAAATTCACAAATTTGTAAGATGCAGGCTGGTGAGAGGGAAATGAAAAATAGAAGATGAATATAGCAAGTGTCAAAGCAGATCCCAAAACATTTAAATCCAGCTTTGGAAAGAAAGTAATTCTTTGGAATCTATTTTAACAATACTTTGCTGAAGGTCACATGAAAATTTTCATTTGCAATCTGGAACTAAGACATTTAATTTCACATTACTGAGGTAGACCCAAAGAAAGAAGTTTACAGGGAATTTAAAATTGGTTGTAAAAAAATCTAGAGTGAAGTTCACAGTGAATTTTAGGACAAGCTACAAAGAACATTAATTAGATGATTAAAATGTACGGAGATGTTCTAGGACAGGTTTTAGGTATCAGAAGTATTCATCATCCCAGGACAACTGGTCCCTAAAAAAGAACCACTTAATCAACTTTTAATGAGAACAAAATTTCTATAATGATGACTGGGGGGAAAAGGTTTCTTCGAAGATTTATCAATCGAAATGCAATCGAAAAATTAAGAAAGTTTATCATCTTAAACTTAACAAAATTTAGGGTATAATTACTAAAGCTAATTCTTAATATGAGCAAAGAATTACTCCTTTTTGGGGAAGGGGTGTCATTTTCCAACAAAACTGTAAAGTAACACAGCATGACACTCTTCACTTCTTGTGCAGTAAGCTCAGTAAGAACCATTTTACAAAAACATCTAAGGGCTTCATCAAGTTTCCTGAAGGTCTCTCACTGCTTCATTATTCCAAATCATTCTTTTCTCCAATCTTGTCATTATCTTTACAAATTTTCTCTTTGACTATTAATGGCTCTAACTCAGCAAGATGTTCATCAATAGTTTTGTGAGTGCTGAAAACAAACTTCCAAGAAACCTTTCATCCATTTAATGAAATTCTGAAACTTTTGCAAAACTGGCTTTTTGCTTTGAAATTTGATTTTACATTATTGTTGGGTCAGCAAGAGAATGTCTAACAAAGACACTAATGGAATAGAGAGATGATAATGTTAAGTCACGGTGAACATGTGACTGAGGACTAATTTTACAAATGATCTATTTATTAGTAAATATTTTCAGGTTATGAAGCCGTTTATTTCTCATATGTGACTGTCGTAGGGCTGAGATAATGAATACGGCACTTGGGCATCGAGGGCATTCTTGTATCTTCCCCAGATATCATTACAGTTTCTTACCCAGTTTGTACTCATCATTAAAACCTTGACGTCGTAAACGTCTAATCAGCTCCAGTTTAGCTAGATGTGGTCCTCGAAGATGGCGAGAACTTTTAGATTCTTCTGTTATCCGATCTTCTATAAACTTCACAGCTTCTTCTGCAGAATAATGTACTTCTCCTTCTAAAGAGCTGGGTATAAACAAATGAAAAACGTATTTTATACTTCTATTGTCCATCTCAAAACTTAAAGTCAAGCTCAATTCAAGAAACAGATTAAAAACTAAGAAAATGAATTTCAATAATTATACGACAATACAAATGAGAATAAAAGAGAGCTCTAAGTAGATAATATGGCATGATTACTCCCAATTTGGCATTTGATTATTATAGACCGACGAATCACCTCTCTTTCTTTAAAAAAGAATGGGTAATTTTTACAATGAACATGTATATTTGTAATTTAAATAAAATGGGAAAAAATCTTACTTTGAAAGAGATAAATTATTGAGACAGAAAAAGAGAATTCAACTAGGCTTACAATAAAACTCTGGCTACAACATAGTAAAAGGTGCCATTGTAATTCAGGAAAGAAGACAACTTACTGTTCACCT